CATGTCCAGTGTGTTTTTCAAGCCACCGGGTTCAAGACTTGAATCATGCCGTTGGTTATATGGGATCCAGCTTCACTGACCACCAGGCTGCAGGTTGGTCCTTGCAGTGGCTCATTTTAGGGGGTTTGTAAGTCTTCTGCTTACTGCTTGGGAATATGTGGAGCCAAGATTGAGAAGATCCTAGCCCCACCACTTCCACCTCCCATAGGCCCTTGGGGCACCAAGACTGGCCTCTGCATGCTTAGGATGCTGGAGGTCCTCATTCGTTCTCTCCTCATACCCTGTACTCCATTCACCCCACCCAACGTGGCCCATGAGGGAAGTAAGGAATACAGGCCTTCAGGAAGAACCATGGGAGGGATGGGACCTCCCTGAGATCCAGCTTCCTCCTGGAAACACTGGTGAAGGCCTGACAGAGGCCTCCCCTTTGGAGCCCCTGGAAAGAAGGTGCAGAAGGTGGGAGGAAATTGAGTTGGCCAGCAGCTGCACAGGGAGGACTGGCTCTCTCAACGTGGAGTCTGGGCAGGACACTGGGGAGACCGGCCACATAGCTTCCTGGGTAGGAGTCACTCGAGGTCAGAAATGCCCAAGCAGGAAATGAGATGCAACTTGTAAAAGACATCAAAAGAAATGGAAAAACATTCTTCTAATATGTCAAGGAGGCAAGAGGAAGGGGCAGACGAAGTGAGGACGCCGGCCCTTTCTTACGGGATGGGAGAGGGTGCGGGTGATAAGAGATGTCCCTAGAAGACCAAAAATAATGAAAATATAAAGCAGCAACACCTGGGTGTGGGAGTCAGTACCCTCCCTGAGACCCTCCGGATAAGTACCCTGGAGCAGCTTTTAAGGGCTTGGGGCACCACCTCTGTCTCCATCAGCTCCTCCAGGCTCAGAGACACAGTGCCCACTTGGGTGCACCCAGCAGGCAGGCAGCACAGACTGTTGTTGGCAAAGACTGGGACCGAGAGAATGCCTTTTCTTGGAAGAGAATTCTGGCAGGATTGCATGCCAACACGTGAAGAGACTGGAGGGCATTTGGTTGCCAGGCACACAGTCTCAGAGCCCAAGTCCAGCTCCCTCCACAGAGAACTGACCTGTGAGGGTACGCTGCTGCTGCTGCTGCTGCTGCTGAGGGAGGGAGGTGACCTCGGAGTCCCAGTCTGGAGCCAGGGGCCACAGCCTCCCTCTCTTCACTGAGGTCTGGGCTTGATCTCCAATGCCCTTCTGAGGTTGTCTGTTCAAAGTGGGGCCCTTCTCCCTGACTCCGGCCCCTTGGGAAGCCATCTGGTGGACTGCACCTCGAGGGGGATCCTTCTCTGGGGTCTGGGTGCATCCTACATGGCATCAGACTGTCAGTGCCTCTGTAGTGCCCCTGAACACTTTGAGCCCTGTCTGCCACTGGTCACCCATCTTCAAGCAACTTTTCAAAGAGAGCACCCTGAGGAGGTAAGTGGCTTAGGGAAGACTCAGAGGTCGAAGCCCCCATCCACCCCTGTGAAGGCCTGCACTCCGATGGGATGCGTGTTGGAAAAGCTTGCCCCATTCCCCCTGCCAGTCTTGAGGAGTTTCCTGGGAGATGGCCACTGGCCGTAGGCTGGCTTCCTTCATTAGAAAGGGGAAGTTCACGCTGGGCACACATGGAAGCATCCAGAGGCTGTGAATTCAGGCCCCTGAGTGTGTGTCCCTTCCTGCTCAGCCCAGGTTCTGAATCGGAACCGGGAAGTAGAGGGCACCCTGGGGTGCACAGGCAGCGTGGCTTTTCCCAGGCCCTGAGGGGGAAAGGGGAAGCTGGGTACTCGGGACAGCAGCGCTTTCCGGACTCCTAACCCTATAAACAGCAGCAGCAGTTAACAACTGAGGTTCAGAAGTTCAAGAATTTGTTCAAAAGAAGCCCAAGTGAACGCCCTAAGCCTGGGCAGACCAGAAGCGGCCTGGTGGGTGCGTGGGTGTCCAGCAGAAGGGACGGTGGAGGGACACTGGCAGCCCGAGGGCAGAGCAGCCCGGAGCGCGGATTCTACCCAGGGAAGGCGGAAGCGCGGTTCCCGTCGGAGCGCGCCGGCAGCTGCGCGAAGGCGGGAGGGAGCGCGCGGCGGTGGCCCGGCGGCCCTGCCCGGGCTGACGGA